TTTTTCTTTTTTTTTTGCTTGGTGGGGTGGGGGGGGGACGGGCTCGGGGGGGGGGGTTCGTTCGAACCCCCCGAACCCCCCCTGGCTACGGGCCTGCACACGTGTACACGCACGTACACGCACGTACACGCGGATACACGCACGTACACGCGGGTACACGCACGTACCCCCTTCCTTTTCCTTTTCCCATTTCCTATTTATACTTTTAAAATAGGAAACGGATCAGAAACCCATTTCCCATTTCCTATTTAGACTTATAAAATAGCTAGGAAACGGGCCAGAAACCCATTTCCTATTTTCTATTTTCATTTTAAAAATAGGGAATAGGTAAGAAACATATTTACTGTTTGCAACGTTAAATATATGTATACAGACGAAACTTGTAGACCTTCAAGATGGTATGCTCCGATTTTATAGAGCAAGCATATCTGGTAGCTCCGATTACGGTGTGGCTAGCGTTATTTCGTCTTTGCGTGTGAATAAACAAACGTTACATATCCCCCGGCCGTTACTCACTTCTGCAGGTCTCCACAAAATTTTAAAACAAGTTTTCGGTCTCATAGTTATACGTTAGGTCAATTTTAGAGCAAAAATAGTTCAAATAGTTTCTGCGTACAGTTTGCGTCGCGTACACTGTATGGTGCTGCCCCTAGTGGCAGCTACTGTACGAAAATCCTGGCTACCGCTGCCCTTGTTACCAGCAAGTTAGCATGCCTCAGAGGGTGATTAACAGTCAAAGGGTGCATAAAGGAAGTAAGAGACCTATCTCCTTAGCTGATCCGTGTGTGGGGGGAGGGAGCGGATGCAGCAGCTAACGTACAAGCAACAACAATAACAACAACTATTACTACAAAAACAACACCAGCATAACAACCTTAAGAAAGTTAGCATGCCTCAAAGGGTGCTCAAAGTGAGACTAAGCCTTTTACTTATAGAAGATTTGTCTGCGCGAGGCAGGCGAGTCCCCATACGCAAAACAAGCAGATTTCAGATTTATTCAGATTCAGATTCATTTTATTTTGCACTTTTCATTCATTTGTACATATCATTTCAGATAGAAGTAAAAAGGGAGAGAAATAAATAATATTATAGAATCAATAGGTTTAAGCTGAATGTGCGTAGTGGTCAAAGTAGCCATAAGCTTTCGAGTTGACCACTACCATAGGTAATAAAATGTCCGAGGGAAAAGTACAATTAAACTAAATATAGGAAATAAGAGGCGAAAAAATATATACATACATACATATATATGGAACAGTAGAACAAAAAATAGAATTGATGTAATAAGTAATCAGTAACAACAACAAGAAAGCAATTATAATATAATATATAACTAATTTCTAATGGTCCTAAATAACATGCACTAATTTAATTTAATTGATCATTTCTGGCTGTCTACGTACACAAAAATATACATATATACATATATGGAACAGTAGAACAAAAAAATACAATTGATATAATAATTAATAAGTAACAAGAACAAGAAAGCAATTATAATATAATATATAACTAATTTCTAATGGTAACTAGCAGACAATATCTGGGAATAAAGCAACCAGAGAACACAGAGAGACCGAACAGAGTGACACCAGAGTTGTGACGTGGTGTCGTATTTAGTAGAGCAGCCACCACACTGCGATCTATTGAAACTAAGCTTTTCACTGGAAGATTTCTCTGCGCGACGAATCTATCTCGAACACGACGAATTGTCAGAATGATTCCAATCCTGTAGAAGATTTGTCTGCGCGAGGCAGGCGAGTCCCCATACGCGCAGTGGTGATGGCAAGAACGCGAGAGGGAGAGAAACTTGCGTTGGCTAAAAAACAAACAAACGAAATCTACATAAACAAAACAAAGTAGATTAAGTCTTAATGTTTCTCTACGCTCTGTCGCCTATTATTGCCGATAATTTCCTGTAAATGTCGGTCAAATGCTCATCTGCAACACACAAGTACACCGCACGCCCGCTCTGTGCACAAACAGGGTTTATTTACCTTCTTTTTTTCCAAGACGTTTCAAGTGCCTGTGCACGGAGTCGCCATCACTAACGTACATATAGCCCGCCGTCAATCGGAAAACCCATCGGCTCTTTCCGTCATTCCTAGAAAAGAGTATATGGAATAAAGCCTACCCTATATCAAGGATATTCTCCTCAGAATAGTCTACCTTAATTATACCGTATTCAGCTCCGACAATGGCATATCGTTAGCTGAGTTAGAGGAGAACATAATATATGTTTATATATACAGGTGCACACAAACACCGCCCCGTTCTTTGCTTTCTTCTGTTTTGAATCAACCTCAGCACCTACCTACACATCGCTGCCTATGCGTATACGTGTGAGCCAGTCCTACTAGCCAGATATGTATTCTCGTGATGTGACCATTTTACTTGTCGCCTACAACCTATTTTACACCGTTATTCACCGTTACACCTATACAGCACAAGTTAGATAGCTAACTAGAGCATTGGCATAGCACAATATACTCAAACCTGTGTTAGCGGAACTCCTGATAGAACATATTAGAGTTCAGTCTGAATAGTGCTTTTGGGCTAACTGGTGTTTGAGACATCAACTTAAAGGGATAGTAGAATCTAGGATTTTACTGCATACAACTGTACTTATTGTATAACAAATCGTCTATACCCACACGTATTTGGTACCAGATACCTAATTTAATTGTTATAATTAATTATACATCAACGCTACGAAATTTGAACAGCGCCATGACACCTGCGACCGTGCTGCCACCCCGAAAAAGTTGCGTATTTAACAATTTATTTTGCACGTTACAGACCGAGGGCTAATCACAAAAGTGCAATTATATTTATACCTAAATGCTATTTAACCGAACGATATTAATTTTAGGGCAAATTTATCCATATTATAACTGAAACTATATGTCGTTTATAAGATATTACAATCCTTTTGCTTTTAAATTAATAAATAAGAAACATCCTCGGTCTGTAGCTACAGTTAAGTACAGAAAAGTTACGTAGACCAACAGTTATCCGAACAAAATACTCCCCGCCAATCTCGTTCCGATAATCGAGTTTAACTGCATGAACTGCGAACTGCGAACTCCTCTCTGAGTAAGAGGCGTGACACACGCGGGGGGAGGTGCTTACGTCATGGTGCGTGGCTCTTTGTAGTTCACTTTAACCGACCTTGCGTGGCGCTGAGGTTAATGCTGCAGGCCCCGCGGCAGACAGCACGGCTTGCTGAAAACAATGCGCATTAGGCCTATGCTGTATATGCTTAAAGCTGCTATCCGTCCAGAATTGCAAAACTTCTCGCATTTCCTTACCCACACGTGCAATTTACGAACTTATTATAAACCCTATTTCGAAATAACATAGAATCGCTTTTTCTTATAATTTTAATTATAGAATGCATAATTTTCTCGTGACGCTGGAGTGAAAAAATGACCTATAATTGTGGACCCTAATGGTCCCTACGGCACGCTATGTTGAAATGACCCTGAAATACTTCAAAGTTGATTGTAAACAGTCTCAGAAAACTGTGAAAAGAAATAGCAACAAATGGAAAATCAGAGTTTTCTTGTTCACATCAATCTAATCAGCAGTTCCCATGTTCCCTGAAGGTTAATGCTCCTGTTCCCTTGTTCCCTAAAATCCATGGGGCTCAACAATTGCAGCTTCTACTGCATCTGCACCTCTGCTTTTGCCATTGCCCTGTTTAAATACTTTGTAATTTGTTTGTGATAGGATTATTCTGCACATGCATGACGTCTTGAAGCCTGAAGCTATGGCTCTGTTCCACAGACTTAATAACCGTTTAAATAGACTTTTCTGAAGTAGCCCAAGATATCTTTTCTTTTTCACTTTGTCGTCTTCTTCACCAGATTTTGCGAGTCTACGAAACATTATACTCCCATTTAACTCTCAAACAATGATGAAAAGGATAAAATTACACAAAAATATATTGATATAATATTGGATACTGACTACTAAAACCTGTATTTCTCATGATAAACATGGAAGAAATACCACCTGTCTCCCAATTGTGTATAAAAATAAAACACGATTGTCCTCGTTTTTGATGTTTCAATGAGTCATGATCATCTTACAAAACCACGTATTGTTGTGATCATGCCATTTTTTCATCATAGTTACTGCATTATACACGATTACTAATATTTATCCGCATGGCTTGCAGTTTTACACAATAAATGAATTTGAATTTCGAGTTTTGTGGTCAATTACCTTCCAATCTGCAGCCAAATGCATATTGAAATATTAGTCGTAACAACTATCGTAACATTACCTTTACAATGTTTCTGACAACAGATCCTGAGCTCTATAAGGGTTCACATGGAGCAAAAAAATCACGAATGAAAAGATTACGTATGCCGTTTCATATAAGAGTACTTTTCCATCATACCTTTTATGGCCAGGATTTATAAGCTGCCAGCAAAACTTGGTCACAGAACCACGAGTTACTCCCCCAGCCAAGTCATACATGCTGCCTCTGTTCACTGAATCTCCTAACAGCCCAATAATGGTGTGGCATGTCTCTCCAACTGAATGGGGGTGGCAGCAAGAATCGCCTGACTCAGTGGCAACTCCAGTCTACATCACAATTCCCACCATTTCTCGGGACATGCCACAGCTTGTCACTTGCCAGTGTGAGACAGACTGTAAGGCTCCTTGCAAGTGCTGTGTGCACAGGCAGCCCTGCATGATTCTCTGTAGATGCCAGGATTCTTGTTCCCATACCCATATGATGAGGGAGGTACAGAGAGATGAGGGCCCAGCTGAATAAAGAAATGTGAACGGATGTGCTTACATTGTCAAATTAATACAGTCCTCAGACAAATTCTGGTGTGGTATATTTTATCAAAACATCAACTTTCTGTATTTTTTCATGAATTTTACCTCTAAATGTATTTCAAATGCAGAATTAATGCCAAAAATGAATTCAGTGACTTCAAATTAGCTAAAAAAAACATGTGTCACAATAGTTTCTATGACAAACGGTTCAGGAGTTGTGAGTTGGTCAAGTTTTCCAAAATGGCCACCGGCGGCCATCTTGGATTTTGAGATAGAACGTGTGTCTTTGGATAATTTTGTTTCTGGTGCCCTAAGGAACATTTATGCCAAAGGAGACCTTTGTAGCATGATTTGAAGTCAACCCCCTATTTTGTGCACTTAGCATGTCTACTATTCATCTGACAGGGGCGTAGATAGCGGGGGGATGGGGGTATATCCCCCCACACTTATTGAGGTGGGGTGGCTTTCATCCCCCTACTTTCAGGAAGGAAATGGGGAAAAATTTAATATTTTACAGACAATAAATACTGGATATTTATCTACATATCCGTCATCGCTATTCATAGTCTCCTAATGTATTATTACAGAAATGGAACGTGACATGTACATCTACTGTAAAATGGCTGTAACTCGTTCCAAGAATGACATTATTTTACTGAAACTCAGACGGTTAATTTTGGACGCATTCCCCAAATTCGATTTTTTTTTCAAACTCTCCAGTCTTATCACTGCTCACGAAAGTTAAATCCTTGCTTTATTCAAAATTAGAATAGACCTATTGAGACTTTGAGAGTTGGGATATTGAGTTTTCATGGGGGTTGAATGGGAAAATTCAATTTCATCTCACTTTTTTTGGGGGGATGGGGGTGCTGAGACCAGACCGGAAGTATATTCCCGATTTTGTATAAGGGGTAAAAATATGTACTTTTTGGTTCAAATCTGGCCGGTTGTTTTTCTCATATTTTTTTGCAGTTTTAACGTTCTCAGTAAAATATACGTTTTATCAAAATTGCAGGGGGAGATGATTCCAGTGCTGTAGTTGTCAACGGGGGGTCGGTAGCACGAGGCGGTAGCCCCCCCGAGAATTTTCAGGGCAAAGGTATTTTAGCCTAGGTAAGTCTGCACTGGTAACCCCAGTGAGGACATGTACATAGCACAGATTTGCATGGTAGTAAGTATTTTAGTCTTTGGTGTCCCCAAAGGTAAAAATACTCAACTCAACAGTGATGTTATTGTGATGAAGATTGTTTAAACTGCAAACTTGGGGTATAATTTGGGGTGCTACCCTGGCCACCCCACCAGTTCAGTGTCCACTATGGATGAGGCAACACTACTCCATGCCATGTTTCTCGTATAGAAGTACAACTCGAACTACTTGATTGCCAAGCCCTCATCATGCTTATGCTTAATCTTGATTTAAGTTGATAATGTTGATCTTAATTATCTTGATCAATGTTAATCTTGACAGCACGGCAGAATGAATAATGATGTATAGAACGCGGCGCGCTATTTATATGATCGTTATCTATCTTATTTTCAGCTAATTTAGGTTATAATTACGCTAAATAAAAAGTTTCATGGTTCAACCACCATTAGAAATATTTTTTTTTAATCTAGCTACACATAGACACATGTCTTAGCTATAATCTCTGTAAATCTTATTGAAGCTTATTGAAGCACGATTAGTCTAATTAATTACTATGGACCATTGTACAGCGTATTCATACAGCGCTAGCGCTGTACTTAAGCGGCAGCGGTGTTGATCCATTTGGAAACAACATGCCGGCAGCGATCACGTGACCGATTTTTCCCGACTCGTCATGGCGCAACTCTCTGTATATAGGGACTCTAAGCGATGGCATTCGAAATAAATAGGTTATGCTGCGTTCCGACATGTTTTGTAAAACTTTACTCTAAATCTAATATAGACGTTTTATCGGCAGGGTGGAGAGGAAATACCAATTTTGCATTAAAGATATTGTCAATGAAATCTTGTAAAACAAAAAAGACAAGTGTGACACCACAGACTGAACATTATCTGCGTCTATATAATATGCTATATAATTGCCAAAACCTACCTAATTTGCATAAAAAAAATTAAATATCAAAACCTCTAGCCCTTATTCATTCACCTACCAAAAATGAGCAAAATCCGTTGAACCTGAACTGACTAATGGCAATTCCCATTTTTACCAAAAAATTGTCGTGACTCGAAAGTATGTCGACTGGCGTGCTTCAAAAAAGGACGTTCAAACCTCTGCCATAGCAGTAACAACTATACCCAATTTCAAACATGTGGGTCAAACGGTTCCTGAGTTATCGTTGACCGTAGCCAAATGTAGACGGAAGGGCGTACGACGGACGACAACCCATGGCAATAGCTCAGCTTGACAATGTCAAGGTGAGCTAACAACTGCAGGATTAAACCATAAAAACAAGGCATTCTAACTATAGTTTCAATGTAAAGGAGTTTTAATTTTTAAACCCAGCATGGGTGCAACGTAACTTAATTATTAATATCTAAGCGCATTTTCTGCACTTGGCTAGACTACGGCCTAAAAGCCCTGCCGCAAACCAATAATCCAAACGTGTCGGCGATTTTCAAACCTCTCGGCCCAAAACTCAAACCTGTCGGCCTTATATGTTAAAACCCCTCGTGGACCACACTGATGGAATGCACCACGAAAAACAAAAGAAGCGCATATTGCGTGTTTGGACTCACAGGCGTTGCTGCGAGGTGTTAGTTTTATTGAGTTTTTAGGTAATTTTGTAAAGGTCGTTAACGTGAAAATACGTCAAATGGACCATCGTAAAATGGGACCTACCTGTATATATGTATACATACATATATATATATATATACATACATATATATATATATATATATCTTACATAAAGGGCGAGTCTGTTTTTTCGGTCTGTCTGTCTGTCTATCTTCAGTAAGAGGTCACCCCAACACCATATGTATTCTTAATCAGCATGTCGCCACGACCATTTTAGGCCAAAAAAAATCGAAACAATACACAAAATTAAGAAATGTCAAATTACAATTAAACTTCGAATTTTCGCGGTGTTGTTCGCATTTTTACTGGTATTTTTGTAGCTGTATTGTCGAATTACAGCGACAATAAACGAATTATTAGCTTCGAAGGAAACACGAAAGCATCGTAGACTACCATATAGGTATAAATGCTGAACTTGCTGCTTATTTTCATATTTTAGAGTGTTTCTTATTCATCTCCTACAATAAATCGCTGGATCTATCTGTCTGTCGGTCTTCTCGAGACCAGTAAGAGGTGACCCGTGAGGTATATTCTCAATCAGCATGACGCGACGACCATTTTAAGCCAAACACAATTTGCACAAAAAGGCCAAAATAAGGGGGGGAAAAAAACAACAGATTTCCCCCAAAAAATACTAGCGCAGCAGAAAAGTTAACAGCAATCCTAGCTGCTTATTTTTCCCGCAAGCACTCAGTGTTTGTCGTTAGCACTCCCAATCAGCATGACGCGCCAACCATTTAGGCAATTACATAAAAAACGAGTCTGTTTTTCTGTCTGTCAGTCCGTCTATCTTCTCTCCATGTGTAAAAAAATCCCCGTAAAAGAAAAAAAAAGAACAAGAAAACAATCAGAAAAAGGTCAGTACAGCCGTCATGGCAGACTAAATTCTAGCTCTTTTCTCCTTTATCCCGGGCATCGCCGGGTA